AATCCTTTCAAGGCTAAAGTCTCAAATTAGAGATGTGTGACCACAACCTCAGAAATACTCCATCCTGTCATTTTTATTCACTACACAATACAGGAAAATGTTAAAGTTACCCCCGTGCTGCTAATGAAAAGAACTTAATTACCTGGTGTTCAGTAGGTGTGAACTCCTACAAAAGCAGACGTTTTGACAGTTCACAGGTCTGGAGGATTCATCTGTGGAGCCAACGCGACGTCAAGGAGGAAGGGTACCAGGGTGATCTGAGACAACCAATTAGTGCGGTCAATCATTCAGGGAAATGTTACGGGTGTTTTTAAAGTAAACTTTCAACGGGAAAAGATTCACAATCTCCTCAGGAGCGGAAACACCAGCAAGTTGTGCTTCAGGGGAAAATGGAATCAGGCCTCAGTGTTTTTAAATTTAAGTTTTTGTTCCTTAAACCTCTTGACAGTATGATGAAATGTGTTTCCTGGGGCGATAGAGGCAAAAATATGTTCATACATTATAGCTTAAATAAATATTGCAGGGTTTTGTTTTGTTTGTTTTTTTACTTTTGCCAGCAACCATTGAAAAGAGAACCAATCTGCTCTCCTATGAAAACATTTTTGTTTTCAGACAGACCAGGAACACAAAGTTCTTTTAGAGTTGACTGCAACTTAAAGAACACACATTCTGTAAAAGCTAAACTTTTAGGACAAAAATGCAAATGCATCATTCTAAATGCTAACATGGTGGTGGCAGCATCATGCAGTGGGGAAACAGGTCAGGGAAGATAGATGAAGCGTAATATAGGGCAATGCTGGAAGACCGGATTTTAGAGACTGGGGTTGGATCGAATATAAATGCATGATGCAGTTATTAAAGGGGCAGTATTATGTTGGGTTTTACATAACGTTATGTTATTCCCTCATCAATTACATACCCATGGTGTTGCTTTGATACTTTCATGCATGTTTGAGAAATCCTTTAATCTCCCATGGCAACCATTTAGCTGTGCAAAATACCTGGGTGGACTGAGCCCCGCCTTCCAGGACAAAGCTCCTCTTCTGCTGCTCCTCTTTAGTACAACGCTGGTAAAAACACTGTTAAAGTGTCACCATTTTGAATTATTTTCGCTTGGACTGTCATAAAAGTCCTAATAAAATACTAAGAAATTCACAGCAGCATTTTAGGGCCATTGTGACAGGAGTACATTTTCACCAAAAAAACTCTGGAATGTTGAGATTAATCTCAGAAAATTTTGAGGAAAACAGAACTGAGTTTCTGAGTCTAGGAAATTTCCTTTTTATTTCTAGAAAATTTCTGAGATGAATCTCAAAATACCAGCTCTTTTTTTTATTTTTATTAGCAAATTTTCGGATTCTAAAGCAAATTTTTTTCATTAGTTTTTTTTTTTTTTTTTTTTTTTTGCAAAATAGATCTTATTAACCACCCCATTCTCATTCACTACTTTATTATG